ACTAGCTAAGTCGTGATCTTGCCCATCATGAAGCTAGCTTCGTCGAAGTTGTAGACGTCCTCGTCACAGATGCCGTACTTAGCCTTTGTCTGCTCTACAAGCTCAAACTAGCTCTTGATTAGGACTGGATCTTCACATAGAGCTCTCTGCCTATCGTACGCTCGATTGAAACGCGTCGTAAGACTGTCTGTACGCTTGACAAAGTTGGCTGGCCACTTCTGCCTAACCTGGCCAGCGCTGCGCGCAGCCAGCAGCTTATCAGCCATATCGCGCACAGCAGCATACGTGGGCGCAAATCCACGTAGATCTAGATCAAGTATATGATCAACTATCACCTCCTCTTCTAGCTTAGTGAGCTTCTTTGAGTTAGGCTAGCAATCGCGTCGAGCAGGTATACCAGCGCGTCGGCGGCGGATTGTTCGTTCAGACACGTTGTAGACAGCAGCAGCGCGACGATTACTTTGTGTTTAATAGAGATTAATAGAAGAAATAGCAAGCTAAATATCTGCTTTATTTAAAGCTAATTAAGTAGCGCTACGTTGAGCTATTGTTCGTTGAGATAGGAGAGGTGCGCAGGTTTGGTGGGGTGCGGCGCTCGCTTACCTGCGGCGCTCGCTTGCCACATACGTTAGTAAAATATACGAATGCAAGGTTATCTATGCACAATGTCGCCATCCATGCGAGTGCGGTAAGCCACGTGAATACGCGTTGCACCTGGTCCAAGCTTCATGTGTGATCGCGACTCGCACTAAGTAGGCGGGAAGACCAGAACAACTGGCACCACGACAACAACATACCAGTCGAGATGGTGAGAGCGCAACCAGTCTCAAGGCAAAAATTCATCCTGTGTATGTGGCCCGCACGCGCATGAAGCCGGCTACCCTGCGTCGAACATACCACAAAACAATTGCATAGCGGGGGCCCCTCCGCAGCACCTCCGCTATGGATCACTCAACCCTAGTCTTCGCATCCGTCTTCCCGGTCCTGTCCTTCTCGCACAGCACGCCCACGCCGGTTGCGACGCCGGACCTAGGTTCCACCGCGCCAGGCAACTCGTTTGGGAGTCCCTATGCACTGCGCAATACCGACGCACGAGGCCAAGGCCAAGGACAACACCGAACGGTCCGGCGCAACCTTGCATGGAGCTGTGCTACGAGATTCCTAAGCTTGCCCCAGGACGTGTCTTTTGCTCCACGGATACAAAAGAATAGAGAGGTGGAAGAGGCACTGAATTACCTGTTGGTTGGCGAGGGCAAGAGCGAGGACGGCAACGAAGAAAGCCTGGTGGAATGGTATACGAACGAGTGCCGGCTACACTTTGCGAACCATGTCAGACCAGGGCTGGAGGATTTGTGGGGGCAAAAAGTCGAACTGCAGTGCGCATGGGACATACTTGACGAGACTCAGCGCACTCTCGAGCAGGTGCAGAATGTGTACCTGGAGCCCTTTACCGAGCACTTGCTGCTGGTTTTACAGCAAAACGCAAGTAGCTCGACACTTTGGCCCAACAAGCAAACGCAGACTGCTGATGCCGATGCGGTGAGTGCGGTGGATTGGAAGTTTCGAAGCGATATCCAGGCGGTTTTTGCGTACTGTCTGCCGCTGCAGCGGTACTCGAAGACGCTCAGTTATGTCCTGTACGATGCGGGATGTAGATTGTTCCGGATCTACAACCGACAGGACGGCATGGAGACGAGATCTCAGGACACAAAGAAGGTTAGAAAGCGAATGACGACGCTTCTCCAAGGACTGGAGCGCAGTGGGCTGGGCGGTGACAGCGCGCAAAAGGCTTTTGCGCATGCGATGACCAAGCTGGTGGATTCGTTTATTGGGAGCCATTACCTCAAGGTTGATTGGTATTCCAAGAAGACTGTTGTGCCGCAGTTGAAGCTGTGGATCCAGGACGGCTTTTGTCCGCTTGTCGAGCTGGTGCTGGAATGCCTGAGATGCGAGCAGAGTAGCATTCTACCGACCGAAGTTTCCTCGTGGCAGGAGATGGCGCTCGGTAGGCTGGGAAGAGCGCGAGTTGACGACTTGTTTGATTTTGTCATCAATTGGGATAAGAGCATGGGCGCTATCCTGGACATCAAGGAGTACCTCAAGGTTACAAATGCGAAACAGCATCTTACGTCGAGCTTTTCACAGCAAATATCGAGACGCTTACTGCATCCTGGAGCTACGACAACGTATATCCTGAATGTGTACATCTCCATTATTCGCTCTTTCCATGAGTTGGAGCCCAAGGGAGTGCTGCTCGAACGAGTAGCGAGACCGATTCGAAGGTACCTGAAGGAACGCGATAACACAGCCCGGATTATTATACTAAGTCTGCTTACTGATCTCAACGACGAGACAGGCAGCAAGTTCTCTTCCAACAGCGAGCTTTCATACGAAATCGCAAGCGAAATGGCGAAGCCTTTTGCAAACTTTGGGCAAGATGCCGACGAGGAGCTCAACTGGAACGACATGAATTGGCAGCCATTGCCCCAAGACGCCTCGCCAGATTACAAAAAGTCAAAGGTCGAGGACGTCATCTGGTTCCTGCTGACCTTGTGGGAACGCGATGACTTTATTAATGAGCTGAAGAACATATATGGAGATCACTTGCTTAGGTGCCAGGACCCAGAGTATGTCAAGGAGATTAGGCTGCTGGAGCTGATCAAGGTACGACTGGGAGATGACAAGCTACAAGCATGTGAAGTCATGCTGCGCGACGTCCTTGAGTCCAGGCGTATCAACAGCACAATCCGTACAACCATCAATACACCAGCTTCAAACTCGCTGGTTACGCCGGATAATCGTAGTAAGGGGCCTCAGACACCAGATGGTCGGCAACCAAGAACACCACGGCCTCGTCGTGGAACGAGGTCAACCAAAAATGCTACACCTTCTGGCCCGACTACAGCGCCACCTGCTGGTCCTACACTCAACGCACAGATTCTATCGTCGTTCTTTTGGCCACAACTGCGCGATGATACGTTCCGCGTGCCCGCACAGATTGATGCGTTGCAAAAGGAGTACGAATCGCGCTTCGAACGCATCAAAGGCATGCGCAAGCTGCGCTGGATGAACGCCCTAGGCACTAGCTCCATAACGCTCAGCTTCGCCGACCGCACAGAAGAATTCGACAACCTCACCCCCTGGCAAGTCAGCGTCATCTACGCCTTCCAGCCCCAACCCGGCGAAGAAGCGCAAAGCACCGCCGCCAAACGCGACGAAGGCACCACGCGCACCGTATCCCAACTCGAAGAAATGCTCGAAATGGACGAGTCCCTCGTCCACCAAGCCCTCAGCTTCTGGGTCGGAAAATCCGTCCTCCGATTCCACCCCCCATGCACCTACTCCACCATCGAGTCGCTCCCCAAAGCCTCATCGAAAACCGGTGCCAACGACGCCGATGCCGCGGCCGCCGCAGAGGAACGCGCAGCCATCCAGGCCGACACAACAAACAACACGGTTAAATCCCAGAGCGAAATGCTCGAGCAGAAGAAAGATATCTACACGGCGTTTATCCTCGGGATGCTGACCAACCAGGGTAACATGAATGCCGGCCGTATTGCAATGATGATGCGGATGATGGTTCAGGGAGGCTTTCCGTTTGGCGCTGAGGAGGTGGGTTGGTTGCTCGAGCAGTTGGAGGCCAAGGGGAAAGTGGTTAGGGTTGGCGGCGATGTTTGGGGTATCAGGAAGTAAGTAAGGCTGGTGTATTTCCAAACTTTTTTTTCTTTCTTCCTTTTTTAGAACACAGAGAATGCTGCGGGTTTTGGTGGCTTTGATGGAGTGTGCCGGGGGGGGGGGGTAGATGAATGCATGAGTAGATGAATGATGCTGGAAAAAAAAAGTGTGAAAGGCGTATAACCATTTCTTACGGCCTGTCATGGTGCTGGTATTGAATGAAGCTTCAGCCTTTTTACGCTGTACTAGCTGTTCTAGCGTCCCCTATGTAAGTAATTGGACGACTCGCCTGTTCTAGCTTCACATTGAGCTTCCTCGTTATATTTCTGTCGTGTGGAATATACATACATTTTGGTGACGGTAGGAGTTGTGGGTTATGCTTGGTGTAGGTAGGGGTAGGGGCGCTGATTATGCCTTTTTTTTGAGAGAGAGATGAGATGAGAGATGAGAGAAGTGGTGCGGCGCATCTGGTGAGGTATTTGGGGTGAGATATGCGGTGAGATATGGAGGACTGTGATGGGGGTTAGGTGGACCTGGCTGGGTGTGTTGTGGTTTCGCATCGTACTTATTGGTTTTCTTGTATGAAGAGAGAGAGAGAGAGAGAGAGAGAGAGAAAGTGTGTGTTTTAGGGACTACGAAGGAGCTCGTTTTTAGTGTGTCACTATCCAGCCGCCCACCTGTATAGATATACTGATCGATTGGTATTTTATCCAACATTATTTTTAGTAGCACGAGCTAAAGCCCAAGCGAGCCTCCCTACCAGGCGGAAGCTCAAATACAAGAAATGAGATGCCTATTTTAAAGCGAAATGTCCCTTCAAGTTGCATCTCTCTCCCCCCACTAGCAAAGTCGAGGGCCCCCCTCACTCCCCCTTCTCGCGTGCCGCAGAAGGAAAAAGATCTTGTAGGACGCATTGTGTAGAGGAACTACGCTAGAAGGTACTAGATATATTTATTCACGATTTCCTGATTCTTCGGCAATCGAGTGTGGGTAGGTATCACTTTTAATCAAATACATTGAACAAAGTTGAACGCGCTCCTACGTATCACCCAATAGGTTCACAAACAACAAATATATTTTTATTTGCTTTCCAAAACATGTAAGATGCTTCCTCCTACAGAGATACTGTTTAACTAGATAATAGTAATCGAAATCGAAACACGCGCATGATAGGTGGGGACACCAAAAATAAGCTCCTTCACGCAGGTGAATCCGCCAGGTAGAGCTTGGCGCCAACCCAGGCAGCCGCGTGGCTATGGCCAATGACTGAGTTGTACAACCACCTTCACCCTAGAAACCCCACTTACCAATTGTAAATGCTGCTATCGTCCTATTCAGGCATGGCGCCGCATTTGATGCTCTTGGCCCTTTGTCGCTTCCTTCCGCTCACAACCAAACGCTCAACTCTTGTTGTTTGCTCTTCCACTACATCAGTTTCACAACACAATCATTTTCTGCACGGCATTATAAGGTCGTGCCCTCTTTTGCAGAGCTTCAGGTGGATGATTTTACAGACTTGAATACGGCGGAGCTTGTACGGCAGAGATCATACTGCACAGCACTTTCAAGAATAGGCAAACCCTGCAGTGCGCCACCACTGTAAGCCCCAGGTCTCACATGTCTACATACCTACAGGAGAGCTTTGCAGGGAATTTATTTACTCACCCAACCATAGAATCGGATCGTCAACAGTTTTGTAGACTGTATGCGCAATGGCTCAGCGTGTAGTGCCACAAACGCGCGCCAGCAGTCTTTGGGACAATGCTGTAGCCCAGCTGCCAGACGAACACAAACGCAGAATCGACTTTACTAGCCCTAAGAAGATCGACATGCTGAAAGACTTACGCGAGATGGCCGACGGAAAAAGAGATGAATTCATGAAATCAAGATGGACGTACAAACGCAAGAGTGGAGAGACTGTCATCATGAGAGACGTATTCGAGAAGTTTGTACGGTGGATCGACATGTTCAAGCGCATTGGAGATGTGGCAGTCCAGTATGACCCAGTACATGCTGCACTTCCATGGGCTGGAATTAGTTTTATCCTACAGGTATGAGTTCAATTGCTTTTGCAAAAAGGAAGTCACTGACGTACACAGATTGCCGTCAAGGATATCAATCAACTGGAACTGGTCATAGAAGGCCTCACTTGGGTATCTGAGCTGATTTGCCGCTATACCATTCTAGAAGCCCTCTATGACTATGATACATCACCAGCTTCGAAAGAACTGGAAGAAGCCATAACCATGTTGTACGCGAACATTCTCCTCTATCTTTCGAACACGATGGACTACCTCGAACAACGGACCATGAAGCGCTTGTTCAAGGGCGTGATTCATTCCAGGGACTCATTGGAATCAAACTTAGAGGACATACACAAAGCGGAAGACAGAGTCAAAACATGGAGGGCTCTATCTGAAAGACAAGATAATGCGGAGAAGAGCGCAAAGATGATCCTTCTTCTCAAAGCCATGAACCAACCGCTGAGAAGACTGGACCAAACCCTGGAGAGTGTACAGGATAACCTCGAAACATCCAAGCGTATTCAGATCCTCCAATGGCTGTCGACTGAGCCGTATATGGGACATCATAATGAAACCAAAAAGGTAGTCCTTAAAGGAACCGGCATGTGGTTGCTACGGGACCCTCTCATCAAGAGATGGAAGGACGATAGCGCATCTTCTATGTTTTGGCTTCATGGGATGGCGGGGGCTGACAAGAGTAAACTTGTGTCCATTTTGATCGATCATGCTATGAAGGGGTTCGAAGCGGGCACTAACTCACGGCCTGCATTCTTTTACTGTTCCAGAAACCCAACAACGCCAAGACGCTCAAGTCCCGGAGCGATATTGGCTAGCATTGCAAGACAGCTTTCAAGTTCCGCACCAGGGAAGCCTCTCCTGAAACCAACAGTTGAAATGTACAAGAAAGAAGAAGCAGAGGGATTTCCATCTGGGCCGCCGGAAATAACTACCACCTGCGAGCTCATCATACAGTTAGTCGGATTATACCCTCAAACTACGATTTTCATCGACGCCTTGGACGAATGCAACAATGAGACACGATGGGAATTGATCGAATCGCTGGAGAAAATCCTCAAAAACGCATGCAGCCTGGTCAAGGTTTTCATTTCAAGTCGAAATGATCAAGACATTGTGATGCGGTTGAGCGGTTACCTAAACCTCAAGATCGACTCTAAAAAGAACAGCGTTGATATATCTAGGTTTGTGAGCAGTGAGGTAGAGCAACTCATTTTGAGTAAATGGTTGCTACGCTATAGCACGTCTAAAGATGAACTCAAATCGATGATTATTGCTCGGACCATTCAAGGTTCCCAAGGAATGTAGGTTTAGAAATCACTGCTTTGTTGCGTTGAAGTTGACATTGCTTTTAGGTTTCGGTGGGCGAGCATGCAATTGCAATACCTTTGCTTGCATACCCTAGACGTTGACGTTAAGAAAGCCCTTGGAAAACTCCCACCAGATTTACGTACGCTGTACAGTGAGATTTACGATATGATTTCCGACAGGCCCGGCCAAATCCAAGCGACCATTTTCAGAAACTCTCTTCATTGGTTGTTGTGTGCTCAGATGAAGCTGCCAGCTGACATGTTCTTGGTCTCAATCTCAACAATTCCCACCGAAGGCAATCAGATCTCAGTCTCGCAAGTAGAATTGCTCGATATCTGCAACAACTTCATCGTTCACGACTCAGAGCTCGACACTTTTCGTTTCGCACACCTTTCTGTTCGAGAATTCTTGGAAGAAAGGTCTGATTCCGTATGCAGACAAGCCATAGTCTGATAGCAGAAGTATGCCTCTGGGCCGTACTCTCCACAAGTCCAACTCCAGCAACGCAGAAACTCTTCCGCGAGCTTGGCTGGGAAACCGACGCCGATCCTTCTAAAATCAAGAGCATTGGTTTTTACACAGATGTGTACTGGGCTGTTCACTGCAAATTCGCTGGGGATCTCAGAAAAGCAGGCACTCTAAAAGCGGCGTTGAGACATATGCTGCTGGGTGAGGATAGCACAACGGTCACTTCCTCTATTTATCTCTGGATGCTTCGAGTTGAGACTTATCCTCGAGTTGTGAGAAAAACTCTAATTCGAGATCTCCGCAAAGTGCCACAATTGTCAGATTGTACAGTCAACGAACACCAACCTTCTAACTTCCCGTGCAAACCAGGTATGAGTTGGGAAGATCACGAGAAATTTCTAGAATTGCTGAGACAACCACCATTCCCGGTAGCCGTTTTCGTCATCTACGCTTTTGGTTTCGAAGAGCTTGGCCAAGAACTTTCAGTCAGTGAGGCACTGACAATACCTTATACAAACAAGCGCGGGAAAAGTATTGTACAAGTCGCAGCCAAGTACCGAAGCTACTCATTGGTATCACATCTCATTGTACAGAAAGAGTTCAAAGCTGTACATGCTTGCGATATGCTTGTCGCTGCTGACACTGAATATCGCGAAGAAGTGACAAGGCACCTCATCAGTCGTTGGACGGCCGATCAACAAAGCAGAGAAGAGTGGTTAGTGACGATCCTCAGAATCGGCTCCGTGGAAATAGCAGAAACCTTTCTCGACTCATTGAGAGACATCTCAGTTACGCAAGAGATGGCCAATGCAGCTGTGGCAAACGACCGCAGCAGCACAGCGATGATGGCATTACTGCTTCGCCGGCGTGAAAAGGCGTTTGAAATCACAGAGTTGATAAAGGTGGCCCTAAGATCCAGGGGAACACCCGTTACATTATTGAAGTTGCTTCTTGATCAACAGAATGCGAACATCATAATCACCAAAGAGATGGTAGAGTCAGCCATAGTATATGGGGATGAACGCGTTGAAAAGCTGAAACTTCTTCTGAGTCAACAGAATACGAAAATCGCAGTCACCAAAGAGATGGTAGAGCTAGCGATTGCACAGAAGAATCAAAGCGGTGGGTTGGTGGAATTTCTTTTGAACCAATGGGACGAGGATATCCCGATCACTAAAGAGATGATAAAGGGTACTGAAACACCTGGATCTGGTAGCAGCCCATTGATCAAGCCCACCATGAGTCGACGAAGCAAAGACGTGCTACTAGAAGCGTTAGCCATAACGGCGATCGTCCGGCACTCTGGTAAGGAGGCAGTGAAGTCCGCGATAGACAAGTTTGGGGCACATTCGGTCATCACAGAAGAGAATATGGATATTGTGCTAGAGGATGAAAAACGCGCGCAAGAACTGCTACCACTATTTCTACAGGTCCGAGAAGATGTATGCGATTGGCTCCTGCAACGCAAGCACAGTCACTTTCGTACAGAAAGGGTAGGAAAGAGTCGATGCCGAATCAGGTTCGAGACTTCTGATTGGATGTATATCAAATTTGGAGACACTGGGTAGAGATCTGGGGGAGTAACGAGAAGCGCAAACGTCATAGGTACGCGTGTGAAAGGAAGAAAGCATGTATCCTCTCACCAAACAATAAACTCTATGCATTAGGCTCTCATCACACCGCACTGTACGCGCCGTAAGAAACATTGCAATAGACACGCAGGAGTAGAAAGTGAACACGCAACTGTTGCTGCTGCTGCAAAGGGCTACACGCAACCAAATGTACATAGTGCTGACTCAGTAGTCCAAGCCACCATTCCGTACGGAGTTACTGTAGAACCAGGAAGTGTAAACTTTACACAGTAATACCGCCGTGCTCCCGTATGCGCCACGAACTCAGCTTTCCCATGCCTCTCGCGTCCCGATTGTCTAGACCATTACAACCTTTGGGCGCGCGCAATGTTGGGGAACTTAAAAAAAAACTATGTACTTAGCGTACCCTGGTTACCTGCGTCAATCGACATGTATGTACGTATGTATGTACGTAGCAAGGTTCTACACGTCGCATGACGCCTTCGCTGCACCCAAAGTACCTGTTCCCCCCCCCCTCCCCTGCAGGCCATAAATTCATTATACGTGCATGAACCAGCTTGCTCAACCCTTTGAATAAAACACAATGGGACACATACACGCACATCCATCCACCCACACGCGCACCTGCGTTAGCGTATCGCCTCGTAAGCACCGCAGCCCGCGACGCGCCATCCCCGTAAGTACAGTAAGTAAGCGAACAAAAAGAAAAAAAATGCACTTACTTAGCCACGTACGTGTACAAGTGTGAAAGCCAGCATTTCAGCGTGCTATTGTCCGCATCAATCCAGCTAAGTAGCCAGCCCGCATCGCTTATGCAGGACAAAACAGCCCACGTATGGACCTTGTTTTCCTTCGCGCTGTGAGTACGCTGGCCTGTGTATTGTAAGTACGGGGGGTTTGGCAGTGTGGCGGTGTGTAGCGGGAGTATGGTACTCGTTAGTATATATATATATATACTTACAGCATAGCGCGATGTCACAATAGGGTTAAATGGAGATGATGTGTAAGGTAAAAGCTGTAGACTGGGTTTGGAAATGGATGTAGCAGTGCGATTAGTATGTATATATATATATATAACGTATGTGGCAAGCGAGCGCCGCAGGCAAGCGAGCGCCGCACCCCAC